ATTTTGGTACCTCGACCCTGAATTGGTATAGGGTCTTCCAAACCCTGTAATGTAGGTCTCCACCAGGAGCCAGTTCCACCCTGGCTGGTATGGGAGGGTAAGTCAACGTAGCCTTCCACCTTGCCACCCGGTTGCTTGAGAGTGATCCATCCAGAACTCGAGTCCGTGATAGAAAGCTCTTTCTGGACCGAAGCCGTCACTCTAGGTTGGTGGCCGTGTAATGGGTGAGGTGGGTTAGTCCGTCTCTTGCCTAGTCCTTTCTACGTTGGCAGCAACATCTTGTCGGATTGATGGAGGGGCGATCCTCTATGATACGATAGTGTTTGTGTAATGGGGTTGGTTTCAAACACCCAGTTACAATCCGAGCCATGTCATTGACTGAAATGTCAACCTTTCTTGCATGTGATAATGCATTCCATACTGGTCCAGCGTACTCCACAGCCAACACACTGAGCGCTAAAGCTGAGGTTCTGAGGACATTAGGGTTAGCACCCCAGCATCTGCTGGTAAGCTTCCTGATGATATTATTCCTTGCTGAGACTTTACCCCTTGTCGCAATACAGTGCATTAAATGTCAGTGTGTGGTCCAGTATGAGACCAAGATATTTAGGTGTAGGGCAATGCTCAAGACGGTCTCCCCGCCATGTCACATTGAACTCACGGCCTGCTTCTCTATTGTTTAGGTGAAAGGCACAAACTTTGGTCTTAGCAGGGTTCGGATTGAGGTGATTTGCGTCATATAGTTCTGGGAAAGTTCATTTAGAGTCGTAGTCAGCTTCTGTTCCACCTCTTCAAAACTCTTACCTTGTGCTGCCACCGCCGTATCATCGGCATATATATACTGACGTGTAGCGTTTCCGTTTGGCAACGGTTGGTCGTTAGTATGTATGTTATAAAGAGCTGGGGCTAAGACGCTACCCTGAGACAATCCATTTCTTTGATTCCTCTATCTACTTTTCTTGCCTTGAAAGGACACGAAAAACCGCCTGTTATGAAGGAAAGTGCCTATCATTGAAGTCAGCTGATAGTCTTTGGTAATACTGTACACTTTTCCCAAGAGTCTTCGATGGTTTAAGGTATCATAGGCGGCTGTTAAATCTACAAAAGCAACACCCGTGATCTGGTAAGTGAGGTTGAAATGAGTTTTTTCCAACCTGAACAGAAGGTTTGACAATATTAAAAAATATAGATGTATAAAAAGTAATAAATATAAATATGTTTTTTTTAGGGTTTGAGAGGACCTATAGGTCGAACAGGAGCGCCAGGAAAGCCGGGTAATCCAGGAGAGCGAGGGATCCAAGGAGCCGATGGGAAGCCAGGGGATCAGGGACCTCAGGGACTTCAAGGACTTCCTGGACCTCTGGGTCCTCCAGGAGACAAGGGAATAACAGTAAGTTTTCATATTTCTTTTTCATCACTTGACCACTCTGTTGATATAACGCTTGAAGTTTTATGCAAACAATTTTAGGCTTACTTTAAATCACTACTTTACTTAAAATCTTTTAGTCATAAGATTCTATATGGATATACACATGCTGATTGCATGAGACACAAAGAATTAAGATGGTAGAGAAGATTAGAGTTTTATACTTAATTGGTCTAGTTAATATTATTTGTTTTATCATTCAAATTTTATTCCAAACTATGATTCTTAAAATTGATAAGATGTAGAATTATATTTCAGGTAAGGCTGTACAAAGGCCTATGGTTTGCATGCGATGCACTATGGGACCGAGAGATAACTTTGCCCCTCTCCAACTAGACCATTATAATTATATTGAAAGAAAAAATAAACAAGAATAACAATTATTTAGATTAGTAGGTCCGTATTCAAGCGTTCTGGTTTAGTGAGAGTTTCCTGTGAATCTAAATTAATCGCCCAATAGTGATTTTGTCAGTTTATGTATAGCTTCATTTCAGTAGCTTCATAACACCTTGTGTGGGTATTTTTTCCTCGCGCACCTAGCAAACCTAAATCTCTTGTACTCCCGGGCCCATTTATTAAATTATCACTGCTGTATATGTTAAGTAAGTATAATAAATGTTAAATATCATCCATGCCCAAGTACATAATACAAATTATGATAGTCAACCATCTATTGTTTAGAATAATATTAGCTAATTGTTGAAGTAAGAGAGCTAATATTAAAATCACTAGTTTATATAGTATATGTAAATACTGGACACATTGGTAAACAGTTTAAAATGCATTTTTGTAGGGAGAACCAGGAAAGGATGGTGAGCCAGGACCACCAGGAATGAATGGACCCCGTGGAGATCCAGGAAAAGAAGGACCTCCAGGTATACAAGGACCTCCGGGACCTGCAGGATTAGATGGGGAGAGAGGAGCAGTAGGTCCACCAGGTCCAACCGGTTTCCAAGTGAGCAAATGATATTGTGACTAGAATCTGAAAACAAATTAAGGAAGACTAGATTAAGGAATGATTTTAATTAAAGAAAATAAATATGAGGACGAAGACAATATGACAAATATACCCAAATGGTCTTAATTTATTTTCTGTACTGAAGTGTTTAGAAATGATATTTTTACCAAAAATGTAGGTTACATTGTAAGAACTTTTAGCTTTAACTTCTGACCAGGTGTTTACAATTCCACATAAGATAAGCAAAACTTTTCACAGAAAAAGTAAATGGACACTTACCACTTTAGTTTTATCACTGAATATAATGTCTTCTGAGTCAACTTGTTCTCCATTGAAAACAATATTGCCATTATAATATTCTGAGCAATGGATGTGTCACTACACAAGTGATTGGACTTCAATATGTAAGATTGACATGATTCTCCTGAAAATTCACATTGATTTGAGGGTTTGAAACCAATTTTCCTTTCAAATGTTTGATCATTGACTATACACAGAATAGACTTCACATGTAATGTAAACATTTGAAGCAAAAAAAAAAAAAAAAAAAAAAAACTTGGTGCAATCTGTTGACATGGTTCTAAATAGAAAGTTTTAGTTTGTTAAATCAAGGAGGATTGTAGGATAGGTTAAGAATGCACTACTAAAAACATGCATTCATGATGTAGTGTATTGGTTTGGGATTGTTTCGATTTTATTGACATTGAATGTGTATTAAACTTAATTATTGATATATTTTTGAAATAAGTTTGTTAGGTATACTGATTTTCCCTCTATTAGTGTCATACTTTTTCTTTAGCCACAAGAAAAGTTGGCATTATTTGTCTTGGTACTTTCATTCATCTTCAACCTAATCTTTAGATTCTGGTGTGCCATAAGTCTACTGTACCAGCCCTCACATACATACATGGTTATATTCTAATAAATTTTGTATGCTTAAATTATTACTTATTTCCTACGCAGGGCCTGCCTGGTATATCCGGCAATCCAGGATCGCCCGGCAAGGATGGAGAGCCGGGAATCCAAGGGGCCCCGGGACCACCAGGAGCTGCAGGCTCGAGGGGGGAGAGAGGGTTCCCAGGAGAGCGGGGTCCTGTGGGCCCCGTCGGACCGGCTGGGTCTCGTGGGGAAGCTGGTGCACAAGGTAGCGATGGTCCCCCGGTGAGTAAGCACTACAGTACAACATAACATAGTTATTACTACAAGCTAGTGAGAAAGTGGTACTTTTTAAAAGAGAGACAATTATTTTGAAAAATTAGTTTAAAAAAGACACTGCAAACAAATAGCACATTATATTTAGTTTACAGTTGTTTTTATGTGACAACTATAACTTACTTCAGTAGTAACAAAATTTAATTAAACATTGATTTAATACAATATGGAGTTAAAAAAACAATTGAAAACAGTTTGATATCAAAATTGCACCATTTTCTAAATATAAATTTTCAGTAAGAATTAGTATCTATCAATGAACTAATAACATATTTATTCATGAAAGTACAAGTTTGTACATTTTAAGTTAGCAGGTATATAGTATTTAATAACTTAGTTGAATGTTATTGGAAATAAATAAAATATAGGACTATTCTAGGTCAGATGGATTAGCAAGAAAAATTTCTAAGAAGTAAGCTGGTCTGCTTATCATAAATATTCATTCAGTTTTCCCTTGAATTTACCAATTATAAAAATGAGTGATATAAAACAATATTCAATTTTATGTTTAGTTAAACAAATTTAAAAATAATCTTTATTGGACAATATATGAACTCTGTGTGCTTGTGATATACTGAACGCATATAAAGTTTTGATTAAAAGAGCTAATCCTACATCGCAAAAGGTTTCTGTAATCGTTATTACTTTGGGAAACGTAAATTGATTTTACCTTTTTTGTTTCCGTACAAAAAGTTTATTCACTCATTTATGTGATTCAGCGAAAAGTATTAATATTTTCCAAGAGCAAGTTTCAATTATAAATAAAAATCTCTCTATTCTATGTATATAATTGCTATATAACTTAAGGGTTCTGTGTTTTCAAATTGTAAAATATTATTTTGATTTACTTTTAAAATAACAGTAGGTTTTTCATATTTTGTACTGTATTATTTTGAACGTAGTATTTTATTTTTGTTGTGTTGTTGTAATTGAATTCTCGTTTCCCGTGTCTACTGACTTGACAATTTCAGGTCAACTGATGAGTCTTTTCATAAACAAATAATAAAACATTGATTTTCTTCTGAGCAATTGACAAGAAACAATACAAAAAAAATATATATATATATATATTAGTATGATGAAACTTTTATAGGTACCATATTCTGATGAAACTTTAATAGGTACCATGTATGGTGTGTTTGGAAATGACCCATACAAAATATATAGTATAGCATTTTTAGTATAATCGACAAATAAAGATGTCATGTGTTTCTTCCTGAAGAAAATGTTATACAATAAAGTATATAGGTACCCTTCTTATAAATAATAACTTTTATTTATTTAAAAAATTAACAATGAAAAATTCACTGGAATTTTAGAGAATCAAACAGGGAGTTCCAGGGTTAACAGTTAATATTTTGCATTTACCTTATGATCAACTTTCCCATAATTATTTTCAGGGTCCGCCAGGAGCTAGAGGTGAGAAAGGACATTCAGGACCCCTTGGTTTGGTGGTGAGTACAGCAGTCAGCTATACATACAACTCAATGCATAGTAAAACATACTCAAAGATGTAGATCAAATTAAAGCTTAAAGTACTTTTTAAGTATAGCTAGAATTATAGATTGGATTGAAGTAAATTCCCACCTAAAACTGCAAAGTAGTTCATACTACTGTTAATAAATAGTTATTATCTCTGCACACTAATACGCCTCTTACAGTCTAAAAACATTTAGTTTGATATTTTATGGGTTTTTACATTTAGAGTTAAGAAGTAAATGAAATTTCATCAGAAAAAAATAACCTTTGATAATATAGTAATACCAAATACTTATCAAAACTAACATATTGCATTCAGGAAGATTCTTAAAAATACAATTTTCTGTCTGCACACAAAACATTAAGTCACAGAGAAATAAGGCACAGAGGCAACACGCTTATGGGACCGCATTCATTTTTAGTATGTTGTGCCAGAAATATCAATTATTAATTATCAATTATTGAGATGGGGACGCCACCTAGGTGCGTATTTTAACCCAAATATGAGTGAAGGATGAGTGTAGATACACTAGTGACGAGCAAGGAATAGCCTGAGCTGCGAGCACTGTGCGAAATTCCTAATGCACAGGGCACAGGGTCTTCCTTCACGTGAGCGCTGTAGTACATAAGGGCTAGGGGGCGATTCTAGACATTGCAATAGTGCCAGACACCACTTAGACGTACCATCGAATGTTTCCTCTATACCTTGCTTTTCTGTGAGTAAGTGCAGTTGTGGGGTATGTTACCAGGTATAGTCTTATGTATTTACCATTTTTACAAAAAATACATTTTTGCCACCACTATATAGATTACACTTTTGTGTAGGGTCTACCAGGAATGAGGGGAATGCCGGGGCCCTCTGGAGAGAAAGGGGAGAGGGGAGCTCTGGGGCCCGTAGGCCCTGAGGGGCCTGCAGGTAATGTCAACCTTATCTTCATAATTTACTGATTTCTCGTATTGGCTATTGAGTATAATCATTGGCTATATAACACTACAGTGTTATATAGCCAATGGTATAATATCACAGTAGTGAAACCTGTCAGAAAACTTTGGTATTGATAAAAAAAATATTACACCCCATTTTTTCAATATTCTAAAAGTAAATAGGAAGAACTTTTGAAAAAAATATGTTTCACTTGAAAACTAAAATGAAACTATAAAAAGTATGATTTATCATGAAATATGACTTGTATTTCAATATTAATCATGATTTAATTCCAAACAAATCTTATAATAATACAGTACTTTAAAGTTACATGAAAAATATTTTACCGTTAATGAGGATAGTGGAAAAATTGAACTTTACAAATCCTCATTAGGAAAAAATTAGAAAACCTCCCTTTCTCCATTAAAGTAGATGTTTTATTCTGCCAGTGCATGTGTGTCAGGCTAGGTTAATGTTTTGCATTAGTTTTGAAGTAAGTTCATTCACTATCCTAATTATTTAAAGATGATTATCTGAATAAAGACAAGTGTCTTTCAATGGTGTTCCATTTATTTTTACAAAAATAACCAATAGAAGAGTTATTTATGGAAATTGTCATGAATCCATGAACATTTGAGTTAGTTGCAGTTTGATGTGTTATTTTATTGTCGTTATTCTTTTATCAAGAACCATTGAAAAGATTAAATGTTTGGCAAATGGGGTTGTATTTTATAATATGTTAGAGTTGTAAACAAAATACCCTGTTTTTTGGAACAGTAGTAGGACAATCCTTTATTTTAACAAACACTATCTTTTGTACTTGTCTCAAACTTAATCTCTACTATCTGAAAATCTTAAGGTTTATATTTGTGAAAATTATAATTATTCTGATTTCTAACTAGGCACTGTAATGATTTCAACCCCCCAATAGGGGGGGGGGGCTGTTCATGGACTTCCCTTGGAAATTTTCCACATTACTTTATGAAAATTGTACAAACAATAAATTACCAAACAACATTGAATTAATTTCAACAATCATATTATGAATCTCAAAATTGCTAAACAACAAAAGAAATTGCAATTTTAAGACTTTTAAATACTGACATTATAATATAAAGATATATCCTGAGAAACTCCTGTTTGTTATTTAGTATTTAGTATTAAGTTCTTTTTTAAATTATAACTACACCTATTACTATGCTAAGTGAATATAAAGTCAGTAAAATAAACAATTGAATAGTGGCAGAATTGAATAGTGGCTATTGACAACAATGTGTTCATAAAAATCAAGGGTTAAAAGATTTGGGTCACAGATTTCAACATGATTCTTCTCCCCTTTAATTATTCTGTCCTTCAAACCTATATTTATTCTGATTTCACATTCACAGGACGGCAAGGTGAAAGAGGGCCTCAAGGATCAGTGGGGCCTCAAGGGCCTCCAGGTGAACCGGCAGAGAGAGGGGACACGGGCCCCCCAGGACCCCCTGGAGAGGTTGGTGCCCCGGGAAGTCCAGGAGAGAGGGGACCAATGGGTCCACAAGGACTGCAAGGGTTCTCTGGACCACAAGGTCTTGTAGGACTTCCGGGAGTGAAAGGGGAGAGAGGACTCACCGGTTTGAAGGGAGAGCAAGGCAATCCAGGACCTGTTGGTAAGTTAACACTGATAGAAAACTTTTGGATGTTGTCAATGTTATTTGGAACCTTCCTGATACGGTTGTGATTTATTTAATGTTATAAATAATGTTTTAAAAACACTGAATTAAAGGCAGATATTGCGAAATTGTACAATGAAATTAAGAAACTTCAACGATATGACGGGAGTCGCTTACAATAATGAGGAATTTGCATACAACGTGTTAGCAAGCATTGCCGGCATCGTGGGCTTCATGTATCATCCTGCAAAGATTTATCTCACGTACCCCGAGGTAACAGCCAACCTCTGCCAATATTTGTCAAATTCATCCATTGTTAGCCGTTAAGTGGGGCTAGATGGACATCTGGCGGAAGAAGAGGACCCTATAGCAAAATTAGCATTAATTAACTTAATTATTTTTACTGTACGACATTTTTTTTTACTGCTGTTTGGTTCAACAGAAGAGAAGTCTCCACTAAAATGTTCCAGTTTAGTGAGGCTTTACTGTAAATCTAAATGAATTACCCAAAAGTGCTTTTGTCCGTTTATGTCAGTGGTATAGCCGTAAATTTTCCAATGTGGGAAAACAATTGTTGCAGAAAATTACGGGTCGCTTACCAAAATATAGTTTCTCTGGGAAAAGCAGAGTGGGAATGTTTTACCACTCGTTCTCGCCCCACTTCACCACGGGTTAATGTATAGCTCCAATTCAGAAGTCTTTAAGGCTTAAAACAGAAACCATACTAACAATCTTGAATGTTTTACAGGAAACCCAGGAGAGTCAGGGCCACCTGGTCTGGTTGGTTTGACAGGAGCCAAAGGGGCAAGGGGAGAGCCGGGATCCCGGGGAGAGCAGGGGATGATGGGTCCTCCTGGAAGACCCGGAGAGGCGGGTCAGGCTGTAAGTTGTACAGGATCAAAATACTACCCCACCCTTAAGCATTTGTAAACATATGCTTAAAATATGTTTTACTACTGTACTCTCAGCATGAGGTATACATCATCCGTGGTTATTTTGTATTTTTTAAACTAAATACAAATTTCACAGATCTTACCAATAAATAATAAAAAGATCTTAAATTAAATTAATCAATATTTTAAAATCATCTTGGATAAGAAAAAAACAATAACAAGAGAAACTATAAGGACATTTTATCATTTGCTACTGATTGGAAATGTTTCACAAAATTACGTATTGTTAGATTTGCATATTGTAAACTGGCTAAAACAATTGAGGCACCAATTTGAAATTCCTATTAGTTAAATTATCCTGAAACCACCACTGGTACAGATAGTTTATGCAAGTCAGATGTAAAAGGTAAATAAAAGGTTAATTATAGTGATTGGTTGTAGGGTCAGCCAGGGACTCCAGGTAGTCCAGGACCTTCAGGAGTTCCAGGGATCAAAGGAGCACCAGGAGACGTTGGTAGACCAGGACAGCCGGGCCCCGCAGGACTACCAGGTCCTCAGGGGCAAGAGGGAGTGAAAGGAGAGCGAGGAAGTGAAGGGCCACAAGGAAACCCAGGGCCAGCTGGTCCTCAGGGCCCCCCAGGAGATAGGGGCCTCCCTGGACTACCAGGCCCCACTGGCCCTGCTGGGGCCAGAGGACTAAGAGGCGCACCAGTAAGAATTAAAAATAATTAAAAATTCATATTGCACTATTTGATTCATGCGTTTTCAAAATTATGTGAATGCTGAGGATACAATTAACATGACAGAATTTATAATCCTCAGGGACTAACGTAGATAATCAAAAATTTAGACAGAATAACTGGTTTAGCTCTATCTACTACAAAATAAAAACAAATAGTTTTGTACAGAAAATAATTAACTACTTGGATGAAAGTTAAAATACCTGATTGCAAAATAATAAATTATTATACAAGTTAAAGTTACAAAAGAATAACATTGGAAGAATGTACAGCATATTAAAAGTTTTCACCGTTAATTTAGGGAAAGAGTGTAAATCAATAACATAAATACATATATTCAATAAATGAACATGAAAAGTTAGGAGAATATGAATTGAGATGGTAAAAAGAGATAAGTTAAATGACATAAAGGGAAAGTAGAGGAAGGGATAAATGAAGGGAATTGTCTCTTGGTCAGGGGGGTGGGGGGTTGTGTTGGAAGGGGGAGAGGGTCTGCCCCTGGGAAGTTGATGATTAAACAAAACTGTTATCCTTGTCTCCAGAGGCGTCTCTAGTGTCAAAATACCTTTACTGCTTCTGTAAATGACTCTGGAGAAATAATCAACGCTTGCTGCTTCATTTAACATATAAACTGCAAAATTACAATTTCAAAATAGTGCAAAACTTATATGAGAATTTCTAACAACATTAATTCATTCTCTTAACCAATATAATTATAATAACGAACCACACCTTCTAAATTTCGATTCATAATCATTAATTATCATATTCAACAACTAACATAGCTAGAACAACAAACCACACCTCTAAATGTTGTTTCATAATCTTAACAAATCATAATCAACAACCACCAGTTACAGCTACAAACCACACCTTTAAACATTGATTCATAATCTTTAAAAATCACAATCAACAACCACCAAAGTTACAGCTACAAACCACACCTCTAAACATTGATTCATAATCATTAATCATAATAATCAACATCCACCAGTTACAGCTACAAACCACACCTCTAAACATTGATTAATAATCATTAAAAATCACAATCAACAACCACCAATTACAGCTTCAAACCACACCTCTAAACATTGATTCATAATCTTTAAAAATCACAATCAACAACCACCAATTACAGCTACAAACCACACCTCTAAACATTGATTAATAATCTTTAAATATCACAATCAACAACCACCAAAGTTACAACAAACCACACCTCTAAACATTGATTAATAATCATCAATCACCATAATTATAATTATTACCAACCATGCAGTAACTATCACATTATACTCCAGTTCTTATTTCTATCTGAATATTGGCTTTGTTGTTTATCAAATTCATCAATAACATTTTCCATTAATCTTTTGATAACATAAGAGAAATACTCATATGTTCGTTTATGTTAAGTTGAATAAAAACTAATAAGTATATTTATTAATTTGCCTGGTTTTAAAGTGGTTATCAGCTATTACTTTTTACATTTTGTGGAACAATTACACATTCTATAAAGTCCTACTTGCTGTATTTGAACATCCTACTAGAAACTTGTTGATGCAAGATTTGAACAAAAAGTAGTTTATAGTCAAGGGAAATTGCTAGAATTTATGAAAAATAATAAATTATTTTTGAACCCATTTTATAGAGCAATATTGACATCTAATATCTGTCTTTGATAAAAGTGGCTTTTAATTTTTCAACGGAAAACACTATAAACATACATAACTTCTTTAATTTATAGGAAACGTTTGTTAATTCAGAATAAAAATTTTGTATGGAACAATTTACAAAATATTAAAACACAATATCTTTCTCACAAGGGATTAAAAGGACTGTTGACCAAGGATTATACCCTCAACCTGCAATTATAAGGCTTTAGAAACATCTGTGTTTAAATTTAATCAGCAGTTTGATTGTGTTCAATTCTAATTAATCTTTTTCAAAATTGTGATAGAAAATAATGAATGTAATATTATAACAATTAATTATTGGCACAGTGGTATGTTATTCAAATACTAATGTAACAAGATAGATAAATTTAGATAGTTAAATTTAATCACGAAATGTTGATTTGGGCCTAAAGAATAAGAGATAGAAGAAAGGTTGTCATAACCTTTTTGAAGGACAATATATTTAGGGGTAGGTAGACGCTTAACTCTCCTTTCTATCATTAACCGCTTAACCCTCCTTTCTATCATTAACCGTTTGAAAGTTAGACACGGAAATGTTAGCCACTCGCACAACTTCCCCCCACGAGTTGTGACCACCCTAGAAATGCAACATCATCGATTTTTACATCTACTAGATATCCCCAACAATAATCAAAAGTCAAATTTAGACAGACTTTCAGTGAAACCCGTTTAGCGCCTGGATTATTATAACAATTCGTTTTTTTAACCAAGAACTTTAAATTTTACCCATGGTATTACCAAAACACTTAAGCTTAGAAAAAGCATTCCCAGGATCAAAATTGTCTTTAAAATGTATACAAACTTTACAACCGTCTTGAACAGTTAGGATTTATGTGAACAATATTCGCCTGTAAAATAAAATAAATTTAAAATGGAAAAAATGAAGGGGGTTTCTACTAATATAACTTTTAAAAATATCATAAATTTTGACGATTACTGCAGTACTTTGATATAAGGATTCATCATTCATCGATAGAGTACATTAACCTAAATATGTATGAAGTAGTGTATGATGTGTTGGATGGTTTTGCAGTTCTTTCTGCTGATTGAAAGCAGATGATTCTTTTGGCAGGATCATTTACAGATCAATGACTTCTCTCTTTAATTTCAAACAATGAAAAAGTTATAGTTTTCCCCAGTGGCGAACAAAAGACATCATAGCCACTTAAATACTTAACAAAATACAAACCTTTTTTATACCGACTTTTCAAATATTCTAAGATTTTCCTGTGTATACTTTTATAAATAAATATACAGCAGCCTTAAATATTTTCAGGGAGAATCAGGACTACCTGGAAAACCTGGTTTAGAAGGGTCCCCAGGACCCCAGGGTCTTCCAGGAAATCCCGGACCACCAGGACCTCTTGGAGAGCAGGGACCAGAGGGGCCACCCGGAAAAATAGGACCTCCTGGAATAACTGGCAGACCTGGAGACAAAGGACCCATAGGAACACCAGGAAATCCTGGGTCCCCTGGACCTCCAGGACTAACAGTGAGTAATCTCCAGTAAAAAAATTTTTTTTGTGTCCATGCCAGTGGAATTTTGTATGGAGAAATTTCAAACCTTTAAGGTTAAGCGGCTGCCAAATGTTTGTGGATATGTCAGGATTGAACCTTTCTCTTGTACCAAAGTCCATGACACTATAATCACAAGGCTATTAATTTTAACAAATTTAATAACAAAACATCCTCTATACAACCCAAGTAGAAACAAACCTTAAAATTGTCTTCGGCTGATTTATGATAATGTTGTCTTGTCCAAGGTAGTGAAACCTATAAATCTTTTAAAATATCGATAGAAGAATCAAAACTTGGTATGTCCCACATCCAGTTAAAAACAGAATGGCGTAAAATAAATTCTAAAAATATTTTTTTGTAAATTTTCTTTAAAGGTTGATGTTTGGTTAGTTTGGTATAAAAATGTTATAAAACATTCAAAACATGGTTTAGTTTGGAGAGATATATTTGTGGAGTTTCGTAAACATTTTCTACATTCACTAATCAATATTTTAACTTGATTTGATATATTTTAAACATCTGCATTCAGATGATAATTTCAACGAGAAAAATATTATTATTTACAAAATGAAAATTCAGGTCACATTTCTACTTGAATAAAATACATTGGACATACTTTTCTTCTGGTTTAGCATATCAAAGCCTCAAAAAGCCTTGTTTAGGATTCAAACAAATGTTATGGTTAGACTTTTACGTTCTATAGGTAGCTTGCTGAATAATTTTAACTTTTGAATTGCTTTGATTTTGCAACCTTACAAAATCTTATATCTGGAAATTTGAAAACCTTGATTTAAAACATTCATCTTTAAGATATTTAACTATGCATTAGTTACAGTTCATAGATAATATTTTGGCCAGATTTATTGATGAAGTATATTATTCATGTTCCATTAGTTTATTGTTCAGACATCATTTTATGGTTGTACTAGTTTATTAGTTCAGGGATATTTGTGCTAATTAATTTGAGGTATTTGATAGTTAATTGTGCTATTTGTTTCTACAGAGGTATTTTATGGTTGTCCTAGGGTCCTCCAGGATCCAGTGGTCCCCCAGGTGCAGCTGGAGAAAGAGGTCCAAGGGGCGAAACAGGTCCTCAAGGAGTTGAGGGACAAGTGGTAGGTCCAAAGACCTTAAAAAACATCACACAGACAGTATTTATCATTAATAGTTTAAAAGACGAGGATATTGTAATTTTTTGAACTCAAATAGTGTAAACATTTTATGTTATGATGGAGGAAAGTTTAAATTTCCTCAACATGCCATACGATCCTATATAACCAGTAGGGTTACATGTTTTGACAATGTTGTTCGGCAAATACCTTATTTTGCATTTTATAAACCTGCCTTTCTAAATAACTTCTGCTGAGATTGTATAACTCAACTTCTAAAGGAAATTTTGAGTTTAGAGATGTTAGATAATAATAATAAAATGATTTTACTAATCATTATCGTGAGCAAACATATTCATTAATATTTTATTAAGTTTAAAAACACCTTATTGCTTGGAATAAATCATACTTAATATGAGATAACATACACTTATATAAATTCAACACAATTTATATCTCGACATAATATAAAAATCCAGTTTTTTATAAACTTAGGGTCCAAGAGGAAAACCAGGACCACCAGGACCAGAAGGGGTGAAAGGAGAGAGAGGGGAGTTAGGGCCCAAGGGATCAAAGGGCCACAGAGGGCTTAATGGTCTTCAAGGACTTCCTGGTCTACAGGTACTGACAAATAATTTCTCTATTTCAATGACACTTCTATTAGTATATTTAAGCTGTTGTATGGGTTCTATCAGTCAGTATGTTTAAATGCTGTTGATGTGGTCAGTGGTTGTTTACAACAGTTTTGATCTTTTTTATAACTATAAGATATTTTATTGATGAAAATGAATATGAAACTATATAAAGAAAATAAATATTATTAAATTATGCTTACAGTATATCTACATATATTTTCTTTATGAAAATTGAAAAATAGTTAATTTGATTGAAAATAAAGTTAATATTTAAGTTTATAATCAAGGCTAATTTTATTACACTTCTACATTCGATACATTTTAAAATCAAAGATTTAAAATTAAAACAAAGGAGAAGAAGTTTGCAAGTTTGCTTGTAAACAAAACCATTTGTTATTACCAAGATGGATTCGGTGTTGTGTTTTAGGGTCCTGTGGGAGAGAAAGGAATAACAGGAGCTCCGGGATTGCCGGGTAAAGATGGGGAGCCTGGTCTCCGGGGTAAGTACCCAATCCAACATCAACATACAACAAATATCTGACATACAAATCACCAAATATGTGATGCACACAATAACATCGCTCTTGTGATACAAAAAAATCTACAAAAATGTGATATACACCAGGTCAAAAAATAATTGACACACACAACTTTAGATTATACAAGGTTAAGCAAAAGTATGGATACCACCTCTTATGAACTTTGCTCTCCTATATACAGTATAGTGTGTAAGTATGGAAAAAATCTGTATTTTTTAACAAAGGTTCGCCGATATTTTACATTAAAAATATTTTTGTTAAACCCCCCTAACAGGGTAGGGGGTAGATGGTGATTTATTCTTTTCAAATAGCTACCCATATTGAGTCACCCCACATTTTGAAGGGTTGGTATGAAGAAATACAGTGACACAAACCTGAAGCCTCATTGTATTTTTTTTTTAAACCCCTTAAACATGAGGGGTCACTCATTAGGTGTTGCTATTTGGAAAAATAAGTCACCCCCTACCCCTGCCCTGTTAGGAGGGGTTAAAAGTTTCTTTTGATGTAAAAAATTCCGGAGTCTTTGCTTACAACCAATGCCACAAACAGAATATTTATATCTATTTCGGTAAAAAATACAGACTTGTTTCCATATTTGTGAAATTGGCACTTTTTCACATACCCTAAATCAAATTTTGGAATACCTGCTATTTTGGCTAGGGGTGAGATGTACACCTCGGGTTTGCATCTTTGCGCTTCTTTAGACAGCCCCTTAAAAATAAGGAATCACTCAATAGGGGTAGCTGTTTGAAAAAAAGTCACCCCCTACCCCTTAATATTTTTATTAATTTTTTTTAAGAGGTTGGTGGCCTCTTTTAACATTGCCCGTCCACATAGACTAACTGCCTGTGCGTGGAACGTATCCAGCAAGGCAAGGGGTGAGCCGGTACAGTACAAGGATGAACTGTACTGATAAAATGTTTGCGGCAGTGACCAGGATCCGAACTAGATCCGAACCCACGCCATCGCTTCCTTGGGCCCGAAGTCTGTAACGCTACCAACTGAGCCACCGACTCACCATATGTTAGGGGGGTTAACAAATATTTTTAATGTAAAATATCCCGGAACCTTTGTTAACAATTAATGCCATGAACATAATATTTATATCTATTTCGGTTTTTAGTTTGTAAAACAAACTCTAAATTTATATATATACAGGGTGAGTCACTGCTGAATGCATTAATTTTAACAGCTTATTCTACTCATCAAAAGGAACCAAAAAATGTATATAAACCCTGGTCTGACCTTTACTGTTTTGCTGTTATGGCGTCATTTGTGATTTTTTCAAATAACAGGACTTTTCACTGTTAATTTGACGTTATAAGCCAAACCCACGTTTGAAAGATATGAAAACTGGTATCATTTAAAGGAGGGTTAAATTTACTGCAAATTAAACACAATACCAAAGTAACAACTCTTCATACAATGGTTTGCAAATAGCTTTAAATGTAAAATTTATTTTTAGTAAATATATGTGAGTTTGTATATATGTAATTTACACAGCATCACCAAGAATATATAATGTATTACACATCATAATACATGATATACTTAATGTCACTATGACCATATAAATAATAAAAGCAACTGACTCAAAATCAATACTATTTTCCTTTCCAGGGACGCCTGGCAGAGATGGTAACCCAGGACCTCCAGGCATCATGGGCCCTGCTGGTCCCCGAGGTCCCGCGGGAGAGGCTGGTAAGGATGGTTCTCCGGGAAGTCCAGGACCTCCTGGACCACCGGGACCTGCCGGGGAACCTCTTGGATACGACGCTGCTGCGTTGGCTGCGCTCTTGAACCAAGGATCGAGCAAGGTGAACACCTGTTTTATTACAAATCCTGTGTATGATCTCACTACTAAATGTTGCAGACCTCAGAGTAATTTTTACGCATACATTTTTTAATGAAAATTAAGATGTAGTAGATTAATACAACAAAAAAATTATTAGCAGTCATTACGTACTTTCTTTGTCTACAATTTTAAAACTTTGATAATACACATCATCGTACATAACTTAACAAATATTTCATGCCAAGTATCGATGTTTTGCTTGATGACAGGGCCCAGACCCTCTCAGTGGAGACGAGCCTCCTCGCTTGTTTGGCAATGATGTTACAGAAGAGGAGAGGAGAGCGCTAGTACTCAAGGCCTACGAACACCTCAAGCAGAGTTTCGAGCGCTTCAAGAAACCCGATGGAACAAAGTTCGCCCCAGCCAAGACTTGCAGAGATCTTGCAGTTGCTTATCCCAACCTGCCAAACGGCGAGTACAATATAGTTAAATGTGTTAACTGGGAATAGTGGTTTTCTAAACCTTTCTAACATTTTATATTTTGTTCTTTACTTAAAAAGCTTAACTGAATTTCTAGGTCTATTAAGTTAAATTGTAAGCACAGTCTTATAGTGTAGTTAATCAATTGATAGGTGTAAAGAAATAACATACTGTGATACGTTTAGTACAGCCTACCAAATAATCTATCAACAAAAAATGAAATTGCAAATTTCAAAAGTAATCCATGAAAAATTTTGAATTCTCTTGCTAGAATAAAATAACAACATTAACTGGATGACTAGAAAATACCTACAAATTCATTGAAGGTCAAAAGAAACGAATATGTATAACCAATCTACTACAACTTTCCAAATATTTAAAGTATACTTTAAATATCATATATTTAAAATAAAAAGCTAATGCTGTTTTTAAACTCATGCATTGCTGAATTGTGGAGGTAGTTTAAATACCAATGTTAATGAAGGATGATGACCGGTGGAGGGCTTTAAAAGGGGCCACGGGGTTTTGTACAAAAATAACTTTTAAAAACTAACATTTAACGATTCAATTTTTTTTAAATTAATATTTTACTACTCTTGTGGGTGACGATGGCGACAAATCAAGGGCGATGCTAGGGGTATTCGGGTTATTTTGGCCTAGAGTCGTAAATACCCTAAATCCATAACTGATGATGACCTGTCACTAATCAGTGTTTCTAATCTTTCCAGGAGAGTACTGGGTGGACCCGAATGAAGGAGACATAAGGGACGCCATCTTGGTACAATGCGACATTGAGAAAAGACTGACATGCCTACTGCCACAACCAGCGGCCAGTCCCCACATAACACATCTTGGGGATGAGCAGGAGTACTGGCTCTCGGAGCTTGACGCAGGCTTCAAGGTTCAACTCAATTCAAAACTGTTATTCATGAAAGTTAAAGTGATATATTAGAGCCATTCATTGATTCAGGCAGTTAAAGTATGCATGAACAACGTCAATCATTTAGTTGTATAGAAAAGAATATGAAAATAAACCATAATTGTCTCAAGACTTACTCATAAGAATACAGTAGAACCCCCACCCAGTTTACCTAATATAAAGGGGGGAGAGCCGTTTCGGATAACCATTTTTTCGGTTAACCCATCATATGCTAAAAATAGCCAATGTATTACCACGGTGTGTAGAAAAAGTCAATTTAAGACCATGTCTATTTAATTCAGTGTTTAATTTCAGCTACAAAAATGTTACAACGGGTTAGAAAATACTTAATCTAAACAACCGAAATTACTAAAGCATTTTACTGCCCTGTATTATTTTATGGAATCATTTTGCTTAACCGGGATTCGGTTAACCTGAATTCGGTTAACAGGGGTTCTACAAAACAAAAACAAAAAATACAATCATCATGTGAATTAAATTTTAAAGAAATGAAAACTATTATTCACAAACGATCGAGAAACAAACAGATAATTATCTAGTCAAGTTCCTTAGTTGCAAAGACATATATGTAAAATCGACCTTCAACGACACAATAATATAAATTAACTTCTTAATATGCACATTACGTGTTATTATTTTCACAGAAAGTAAATTAAAATATGTCTAATAACACCTAAATCCTCAACGAGTATTTACACTTGTAATGTTAAGATGGTAAATATTGCTATACCGTACTATCTTTCATATAGATATAGAATAGAATAGAATAGAAAAAGTGTCTCATTCATTCCATATCAATTACATGAAATAAAATACAGCCATCTTGTTCCATAACGCAATTATACAACGATGGTCATACGGCTGTCTGCTGGGTTGGCACAATGTCCATTCCATATTTGTCCCATATAATCAACTTACGGAGCATTAAAATCGGAAAAAAAATAAAATCACCCTTCTTTAGGTAACAAATATACACATACAACTCTGCATATATACAGATATAACATATATTTGCCGCCTTGTTTACACAGTATAAGTGTACATACATAGTATGTTTAAAGTGTTATTAGACATATTTTTATTTACTGTACAATTATATACTTAAATTGGTCATTCTTGAAAAAAATAAAAGACTTTCATTTTGATTTTTTGTTATTCTTTCAGATAAACTACAAGGCAGATAGTAACCAAATTGGTTTCCTGCAACTACTATCTACCAGTGCAAGTCAAAATCTGACCTATCATTGCCTCAACTCGGTGGCTTATTTTGATCTGGAGCACAAGACCTATAGACGAGGCCTGAAACTGTTGGGCTGGAATGACGCCGAGATAATGCCTAGAGGAAATGCCAAATTCCGGTACAACGTAGATGATGACGAGTGTCGCGTAAGTAGTTTAATCCTCTATTAATATAAAACAAATAGAATATTTGACATACGGTATTGCTAAAATATAAGTATTTGTATAGCATGTGTATTGTTTAAATATGAATTATATCTATGCATATTGTATATATATTAGTAATACATACTAGAGCTCGCCCCGTGGTCGAAAACTTGAGCAAAAGTGGTCTATGTATTGTGCAAACTTATCTATTTTCACCCCACGCTGCAAATAAAACATGTGATCGGAATTTCTTCCATTTATTTTGATTTTCTGTTTATATTTTATTGTTATTAAATCCAATAATTCTCCAATCTGTATTCTCCATAAAAAAGTTTAATTACTATTTTTGACAGAATTAACATAAATATTTTCAATAAACAAATAAAACCTGCACATCGGTAACCTTTCTTTTGGTGGAGTATGGTTAGACTAGCTGTCATAAGCTTTACATTTTGGCTCCATGTTAAATCTCCATAATAAAAGTATATTAGTTACTAGAGGTCGCCCCAAGGTCGAAACTAGACCAAAAATATGTAATGTACAGACTTTTCTATTTTCACCCCACTCTGTAAATAAAACATGTGATTGGAATTTGTTTGGATTTTCTGTTTATATTTTGTTGTTATTTTGTCACCAGGATGGCTACCCATAAGGCCTATGTTAATTTTTAAAAATTTCAAATTCATTTTTCGTGCTTATTTTTGAGCCTGTTTTAATTTATAATGGGATTCTGTATATCTACAGGAAAATATCTTTCATTTGGTACCAACCGCGTGTAATTCGGTCCATTAGTATTGTCAGGCTAGCTGTAATAAGTTATACAAAAGTTTTTTAATATATAAGATTACTAAAAGTTCATTCAACTTGTACAGTATCCAAAATATCTGTATTATCCCAGAGATAGTATTGAATAAAATAGAGTTACTTATTATACAAAGTTATATTTCTTTATTGAAACTAAACATATGGAAATTTAATATGTATAGAAATACCCCCGCCACAACGAAACTGCAGACTAAGCGAGATTCGATTAGACTGATTTGATTTATTAATTATGTCAAACTTTTTACCAATTTTAACAACATTAGGTTCAACGAGTACCTAGGTTTTCTGCTACAGGGAATAAAACAAGATTTTTATAACATGTTAATAGTGTACCTAGTATAAAAATAATAAATTTGCCAAATGTTATAAAAATATATCTATAAACAAACAATGTACAACAGTTTACTTATCCTCCTTAAAAATAAAATGGTAACTTTAGATGTACATTTTTTTATTTTCTCCTTTATTATAAAGCTAAGCTATTAACATTTCACTAAAAATAATTTTTATTAGATACTCTGTTGTAGCAAGCCTAATAATTAAACCTAATGTTATTTAAATAGGGAATGCATTTGATATTTTGAGGAAATATAGTCTGTAGGTTTGCTACACTGGGGTATTTAATTTTAAGATGGGTAACCTTCGAACTACCGAAGGTATTTAAACCACTCAGGATCCTTTTTACCTCTTGTCCCAAAATGTTATACTACTGCTATCCTGTTATAATTCGAATTGTTATTTTTTTAGTCGAGAAAGCAAGAATGGAGTCGTACAACCATCAGCTATTCCACTGACCGAGCTCTTCGACTGCCTATCACTGACATTGCCTTGAGGGACATCGGCAAAGCCAACCAGAGCTTCTGGATACAACTTGGCAAAGTCTGCTTCAAGTAGTCTAAACTTGGCAAAGTCTGCTTCAAGTAGTCTAGCAAAGTTAAGCTTAGTCAACCATTGTGACTTATCTTTGTAAAGACTGAACAACATATTTGTACTTCATCGGTTATTAGTTTTATTTAGCATCTTAATTCAAATATATCTTTTAATACCTTCACTTGGAAACTAAGTCTGAACTAAAAGCAACTTATTAACGCTTCAGGGTTAGTATGTTTTAATTAGTAATGTTAAATAATCTCAATACTCATATTAGGCTCAAATTAAACATGCTGTTCTTGTATTAGTATTCTGTTAAAATGTAATTGCTTGAAACAGGTATAGAAGACAATTGTTTAAAAATTGATCAAAATAGTTTTCTCACTACAATGGTGCACAATTAGTTAAAATAACATAAATTTGTATGACATTGTGGTAGTTAGACAATATCAAGCTTAACCTTAGACAAGAATTTACCTCCTGATAATAACTGCCAAAATACTGCCATTGTGTTGAACGCAGATCACTGCCATAAGTGTATGTATATAATTTTGTACCATTGTTATTAATTAAAACATTGAAAATTAAATAGTGTTTCTCATTAATGCATTCCGTAGTCCACAGGTTTTAGTTAAGACTATTGGAATCAATATCATAAATAATTAACATCAATATAATTATTTGACCAAATTTATCACATTGACAAAAACATTTTATGATTGTACATAATCCATATATGAGTATCCTTTGTCATTTTCCTTATCGGCTCAACTATAAACCCTAAGCAGTTTCTTTAACAGCCACAAAAATTTTGTAATACATAAATTTATGACTAGGAATTTTAATATTTTGGTAATAGAATATTTCATTGTATTTTAAATGATCAAATATCTTATCTTGTAGATAAAATTTTCTTAACGAAACCGTGACATTATTTTTTGCAAATCAACAAACCTTCCAGGAAACGATTACTGTACTACAAAATTGTTCTTCCAAACAAAATGAAACGGAACAAACAGAGAACATAATATACATCTCTGAAGGAGTCGTTTTGATATATGCATGAGTGGACCCTAAGGAATATCCAGACCATTTGACATTTTGACAATCATTGTTGGCGAAAAAGTTCTCCCAAACATTGCCTAAGATAGACTATCTAACCATAAATATTTACTAATTGAGAGCAGTAGAACTAGGTAAAATGTGTTTTTTTATTTTCAATTGATTATTCCTGGTACCATGCAAGACAGAGGTTTTCAATAGATTTTGTTACAGTGTGAAATAAATGCATGATTAATTAGAAATACAGAGTGACTGGTCATCAATGTTACACAAATTGTTTCATGTAAGTAAAAGGTAAATGAAGATTTTTAAAAAATAACCATGGTTTTAAACACAATACAGCAATTTCTCAATTACCTGCGGATTTGAGTAGATGATGTAATTTACGTGTTCTAAATTAAATTTTAAATAAGAATAATAAAAAATAATGGACGATAAGTAATAAAAAATCCGTTGTAAATTGTTCCAAAGATTAAAATTAAGGTCTTTGGTAAAAATTTAAAAACACATTGGTCTATTGAATTTTTTTACACTCTGGATACAAGAAGGTACAGTAGCAACATAATAATGTTGAAAACTGTACCATTTTATAAGCTTTCCAACCAAATGCTGCTACACTATCGAGCTTTTGTGTATACTATTTTTGTGATGAATTAGATTGATGTAATTTGTAATATTTATATTTAACTATACTGCTATAATAAAATAATTATACAGGGTGTTGAAAATGTCTGGAACCAACATTATATCTGGTGAGTGGTTAAAGAAAAACAACTGATATTTTGTGTACGGATATACTATGGTTTTACCTATCTTTTGGTGCCTTATGAAATTTTTTACCACTTATAGGGAACGTCCTGTGGAGGATGCAGTAAAAATTTTAATGGAAGCCTATGGTAAATGATACATCATTTTAAAGGCCATTTTTTTCTGAGTAAGGAGCCGCAAGTTTCATCTCAAAAGGACCACCCTAGCAAAAATGGCGACTGTTTGAAATTTAAAAACCCACTTATAGGGAACGTCCTGTGGAGGATGCAGTAAAAAGTTTTAATGAAAGCCTATGGTAAATGATACATCATTTTAAAGGCCATTTTTTTCTGAGTAAGGAGCCGCAAGTTTCATCTCAAAAGGTCCTCCCTAGCGAAAATGGTGACTGTTTGAAGTTTTTGAAAATAATTGAAAGCTTAATTGGTATTTCTGTTAAAAATAAGTTTAGTAAAACAACACAAACAATTTAGTTAAATGTTTTTTTTTCAGTCATTTTACAGTTTATCACGTGATAAACTACTGTACTTCGTAACTGGCTTGTAATAGCATTTAAAGGAAACAAATACGGACTATTTAAATAGCAATGTTTTTAAATTTCAAACAGTCGCCATTTTCGCTAGGGTGGACCTTTTGAGATGAAACTTGCGGCTCCTTACTCAGAACAAAATGGCCTTTAAAATGATGTATCATTTACCATAGGCTTCCATTAAAACCTTTTACCGCATCCTCCACAGGACGTTCCCTATAAGTGGTTTTTTTTAAATTTCAAACAGTCGCCATTTTCGCTAGGGTGGTCCTTTTGAGATGAAACTTGCGGCTCTTTACTCAGAAAAAAATGGCCTTTAAAATGATGTATCATTTACCATAGGCTTCCATTAAAACTTTTTACTGCATCCTCCACAGGACGTTCCCTATAAGTGGTAAAAAATGTCATAAGGCACCAAAAGATAGGTAAAACCATAGTATATCCGTACACAAAATATCAGTTGTTTTTCTTTAACCACTCACCAGATATAATGTTGGTTCCAGACATTTTCAACACCCTGTATACATTGACAGATTGACTATTCCACAATAGTTTATCTAGACAAGGAATTGCTCTATTGTTGTTTCAAAGTGGTTCTTTTTAATCATAATATTTTCTTACAAAATGTTGATCATTATACACCAATGGAACCAAGTAGTGTGTGCAACTTCTGGAAATAAAATTAAATACAATATAAATATAAATCTGCCTTACTATACCTAGTTAGGCCTAAGTTATACTAGACTACTATATTACACATTTTTTCACTGTATTGAAGTGTTGAGACTTAAACTGTTTTTTGCTGTGTTGCTCAATTTGCTGTTTTTTAACAAGTAGGCAGCAAATTTAAATACGAAATAATAGCAACATGACTTTATGAGAAATATCTCTAAGGTAAAAAATATTTTAATTTTTTACAGCTCGCATGTTTATAAAAACGTCAGTGCCCAATTATAATATATAAATATCACATAGTATTGAATGGGAAGAGTCTACCATTTACAAAAACATCCTCATTTAAACTCTTGTTTAGTAGTAAAACTATTTGAATGATAAAACATGCAGTAAGTTTTACGATTCTCACAGAAGAATAGGTTTAAGACTAAAAACAAAGACATTTAAACAAACAATGCTGGGGGTGCTTGAGGCAGAAACGTTTAGTGGATAATGAAATATCGAGATTCTGTCTAGGGATCTATTTTATATTTCATCCCCTTAAAGACATAATTCATAATTACACATAATACTTCATTTAGAACTTTCATTCTTCGTTGTAAATAAGGTCTCTGGAAGAGTGTAATCTATGATTTTCTGATCATTTAGTAGCGCAATAATCATTTACTCTGATTAATATATTATTATAAAATAACACTATGAAATCACATTTTGGCAAACATCCTTTGAATTAAAAATACTCTAGCTGCAGCAAACCTGCCGACCAAGCAAATTTCCATTCCTTAATTGCTTTTCAATTAAATCTATTTAAACAACATTAGGTTTAACGAGTACCTAGGTTTGCTGCTACAAGGGAACTGATTAAGTGTGTTTTCAGAAAAATATTAATAGCTTAGTATAAAATAATAAATTTGCCAAGTTTTATCAAAATATATCCATAAACAAGCAAACTACAACATTGTACAATATTCACCATAAGAATAACATGGGAATTTTAAATTTACAATTTTATGAATTTTCTCCCTTACCAATAACCGTAAAAAAACGTTGATATAGTAAATTGTTTGTTTTTTAAGTTCTTTAAAAATGTCTAGAGAGAAATTTATATAGTAGGTACACGAGTACATTTAAAAAATACAACATAAAATTAAGTTGGATAGACTCATGTTTTAGGCCATACGCTCAGACAAAATTATCAATATAATTCAGCAGTAACTTACAATTAAAAATCATCAACATAATACATCTAAAACCATCGGATAAGTTTCATTAATGTAAGTAAAAGTTATAAATACTAAAATAAATATTCTACGTGTATGCTGGAAGAGGCCAAGAGGCCTACCATTGGCCCATTTGATAGAGTATCCAGTGATGTGTAAAGACAACACCTAAATCAAGCTAAGGACCACTTTTGGATAATGGTAAGATTTTAACCGTTACTCTGGGTCAGTAACTAAGCCAAACAATCGGGGACAAATGTTTTTCGAAAAGAAATATCATATAGAATTAAGATAATACAGAATTAAATTATTATAACAAGTAGGATGTAAAAAATCCAATAAGTTAGTTTTGCTAAGTTTTACCACCACATATATAATGCTTATCTCCGACCTTTGTCCTACTCCATCCTGAACTCCTACTCTATCCTGAACTCCTGCATCAATCTTTGCATGTTTCCAAACATTCTATTTATTGCATTGTTATTTATTTTTGTTACTATAGTCTATCCTGTTGTTACTGTTGTTATCTTGTTCTTGAGTATATCATATGGTTATTTTTCTGCAAGTTTTATCTGTTTTTCATCAAGAATGTTCTGCCTCTTTTACTAAAGGTTTACTCAGCTTACTGTATTGCTATCATTATTGTTCCTATACTGGTTTTGTTTTTCGAATCTCTTGTTTTGTCAACTTGTTCAGATAGTTTGTTATTTATAGTTGTTACTTATTGTTTGTTATTCATAGTTTGTTATTTATAGTTTGTTATTTATATTTATTATTTATCTTTTATGTCTTGTTATTGAAGTCTTGTTTTCCGGTTTGTTCACTACTTTTGTACTGGCCTGTGATTTTTTGTTTTTCCTCTGCTTCTTCTTTCTGTAAGACAATTGTATTTTTCTTGTAAAAATGGTGCAACCGTTTATAAATAAATAAATGTCAAAATGGGCAAAATGGGGGGGTTGTATTAAAAAATAAGTTTTTGTAAATGTAGGCTATGTTATTTTACCATCTGTTCAGGGGCAAAACAACTTATTAAGAGCTGCACTTAACCACATGTACATTTAGGTTTTACATAGAACCCATTTTTAGGCTTATTAAAACCCATCATTTAGTAAATAGTGAAGTCAGTGAATCGGCGTATGAAATATTCAGACGTATGTTGTGGCGTTGATAGTTGCTTATACAAAGTTCCACCAATTTCTCTCTACTTAAACTACATGAATGTAAGAATGTAATTTCGTTACTCTTGTGAATGATGTAAGATGAAAACTGTCAAGCACTTCGCTGAGATTACATGATCTTATCAAC